CCGGAGTCGTCCGTTTCCGCCCCGTTCTAACAAAGTTGGTCTTCGCTTTCCATCCTCCATTCGGATGGAACCTGGAACAAGTCCAGTAGTTTTTCAGATAGTCGATGCAGGGGCTCTTCCCTTTGTTTCCCTTTGTCTGCCTTTGGGGCTTGACTTGGGGGCGTGAGGGGGGACTCCAGGGGATAGTGGGGCCCTGGAGTTTCCTGCAACTCTATCTGATCAGCTTTTTGGGCTGATCGTTCGGCACTTTACGCGTTTATCGCGCAAGTCGATCACCTCGTGAGGAGGTGAGGGATCTTCCCCAGTTTGGGTTAGATCGGTATGTCGTGGAGTTCTGGGGGTATTAGGCCCCGCACTTACTCCACATAAGTTTCTAAAACCTTCAGGGGCCAGCCCTGAGGTGGTTGCTAATGCCGGATCGTGTTGATCCTCGTTGTCGTCTGACGATGGCTTTTGGTTTGAATCTCCCATGATGGGAGATTGCAGTTTCTTAATAAACCACTCGTTTCTTTTTAGTGTCGCTGCAGATGCAACTTTGCCCTTGCGGGCGTGTTTAGGTGTCAGGGGACGCCCGGTTATCCGGCCCCCCTTTACTCTAAGCGATATCAATGAGGTAATTGTTAGCTGAGATTGCGTGAGATAATTACGTAGTTAGAACGCAGATATAACTCATTGCGCTATATTCACTATCACGTCACCCCTTACCCGATATTCCCTCATTTCCTGCATCTTCTATCTTCCTATTTGATGTCATGTTTCTATTAGTTACCATCTTCCCAATGTAACTGCGCTCTCGTGAGTTAGCAGAACTCATGTACATAAGGCTACTACGCCAGCTGGGCTAGCCCCCCACCTTTGATATCGACTAGTTTCCTGGGGATACTCTTACACTGTGAATAGACGCGCGGACTCTGACATTAGGCACCATACACACTACCGAGTCAGATGTTAAGAGTAGATAGTTGTTGTGGGTTGTGTTGTAAAACACACCTCACACACCTAAAAAAGTGTGAGGTCTTTGGGTAGCTCAGCACACAAGACCGTAAGTGATACAAGTATGTGTATTTTACGGTGGTGTGTAAGCAGTTACCCGGAGGTTCCCGCTTACCCATGTGACTATATGTATCTAATTTAGATGTGACTCGGGGTTCGGGGCTATTGCCCTGACAGTCGGGCAGGTGAGGGAACCTAGTATCGCACATGAAGAGGTAGTTTTTGAATTTGTGCATTGGTAGGAAAAAAGAGACATGTGGATGCAGGTTGTTGCGAAACTTCACAGAAAAATGTCGGATGGACTTCCGAAAACTTCGCAATGCAACAATGTCATTGTCAACCAGCTCTCCTAAGTGCATAAGACAATGCCAACCGACGAAGCAAAGCGCAACAAAGAGATTGTCATCGAGAGAAGGAGTGAGCATGATAGATTGTAGAATGCAGTGCAGGTCACCCTCAGTTAGCGCCTGTTTTCGAACTGGGGGGGACCTATGAAGTTTAAAGCACCCAGCAAGGGTGCGTGAGAGAAGACAGGAATTTCGGATATCCCGGACCTCCGGCCAGTAGCCTTCAAGTTCGGCACAGATGCCTGAGAGGTATGAGGAAACCGAAGAAGGCTGGATGTGAGTGGACATGTAAACCACATAAAAGGTAAGGGTGTCCAGTGTTGGGGTGTAAGGTTGGTTATGTAAATCACAGAAAGTGGTGTAAGAAAGAAGGGCAGAGGTATATGTGTGTGAAGTTGAAGGCTCAAGGGCAGCACTGAGTGCAGTGGCCCGAGCCTGCCGTAAGCGCTCGATTGACCAAGGTTCACACTGAGGTTGTCGGGTTGTCGAGTGCCCTGGTATGTTCATATTGATTCGGCCCCCGGTTTTAACAATGCTGGAGGCCTAAAGTGGTGGATAGTTAAAGAGGGATAAAGGTTTCACACAACCTCAAAGTTTCTCCATGACAAAGTGTCTGCAACAACATTATGCCTTCACATAAATCCATCCCACTCTCAAGCCATGTGGCAATGGCGGACATGAGAATAGCGTTATAGAGGTCGGTAGCACAAAGGGAGTTAAAAATGTTGAGAGAATTTGTCGAATCAGTATGGATTGCAAGCTGCTTAGGCAAAGGAGAAATGGATGCTGCCCATTGGAGCGCAGCGAGGATAGTGATTGCCTCGTTATAGAAGATGTTGAAAGGCTCATCAGGAGTGAGAACTGGATCCCCTATATAAGCAGCTTGGAGTTTTGGGGCCCAGAAAGCAAGTCCAATTTTGCATGCATCCCCAAAAATTTCCAGATCCGCATCGAACAGCGTCCAAACTTCAGTTGATAGGATCCTCACTCCCTCGAGTTGATTCACCAAGTCAGCGAACCATAATAAATCGTTGCGGACTTGCTTGTTGACATAAACAGGTTGGTGCATTGCTTGCTTTCCACCAACCTTATTGTATGCCAAATTTAGTGCAGGTTTGAGCAAGGGGAAAACGTTGAGCATCCAGTTCGCATACCCAAGGGTCCGCAACCACACCGCAGCGGTTGACAGCGCGACCCATTTGGTGTGTCCAAGACAAAATCTTGTATTGCAGCGCAGAATTTCGCCTTGGCCTCAGCAGAGATTGAAATCGACAAATCTTCAACATCAAAGAGAAACCCAATCACTTCTAGCTGCTTGCCATACAGCTGCTTTGCATTGTCATGTGGCACTCCAATCTCATCCAAAAGTTCCAGGACAGTTGCCTGATCATGCGGCATGATGCACTTGTAAGGCGCATAGAATTTGAGATCATTGGTGAAGGTGACATTGAAAGCATCGTCCACATAGTGTAGAAGTCCTTGGATCCTTTGCAGATGAATGGCGATCCAACAGATGAGTCCAAAGAAGAGGCACCAAAGCCACCCAGAAGCTCAGTTCCCAAAAATGGCGCACCAGTCAACATGATAGGAACTGTTAACGAGAGTTGCCTGTCTCGCCTGCCATCTGGGGTGCATTGGAATACATCGGTAAGCTTGAGAAGTGTCAGACTTCCACACATAACATGGTCAAATATTTCCATTTTGCAACATCATCGCTCAGATATTCGAGGCAAGGTTGCTGAGGTTATCAAGGACGACAAAGCCCCCTTTGGCAGGAATCAAGGAGTTGAGGGACTTATTCCCAGCACTATGGTCATTAACCAGACGTTGTAGGAGGGCACAGCAAGTACCACACAAACAAGGCCAGAAACACGTTTTTCGAGGCTCCAACGAGCACCCCCAAGCATACAACACAATCCCAACGCCCACGACACATTTTAACATTTTTTTTCCAATTTTTTCCATGCTTTTTTCTCAAGACCCATATTGCCACTTCCCCAAAATTCACGGATATCCACCATTTCCCCCATATCTCCACCAATCTTCCACCAATTCACACGATTTTGAGCTTGAAGGACAGCGACGGATTAGCAGAAGAGGATGAAAGGACGGGACGGGAGTTAGGATGACGGATATGCGGTGGAGAAGCGAGATTGATGGTTGATATTGACCTTATGGGCCTCAATTATTGATTTTATTGCTACCTTGTGGACACCTTTTTGCCTTATTGTTTCTTAGCCAAGTTCTTAACATTCTTCCTGTTTCCATTGACACCATCCATCGGCTATTTTTTCTTATTTTTTTGTTCTGATTTCCCTTTTTTTTCTATAAATATGCCCAGTTTATCTTGTACTTACATTGTTGGACCCCTCTTCTGTGCTACAAAGAATGTGGTGTTGAGCGATCCCTCCATACGTTAAAGAGCCTCCTGACGACTGTCCAAGAAGGACCAGGAGTGAGTACATGATTAGTGAGATTTTATTGATTATTTTCTAGCACCCGGACCATGGCACAGTATCGGCACTGTTGCCACCCATCCTTTCCCATCTTCTGACCCGACTCAGACACTACCCCCAGGTCCCTACTATTTTCCTGGGAAGCTCTTTTGCCCGGTTACATTATTGGTGGTCCTTACAGGGGGCCGGGGTTGTCAGTTTCCTGTTTGGGGTCACTTATGCCAAGTTTATGCAAGTTTTCACTTCCACTCATTTACAAATTGATTATTTGATCGTGGATATCGAGTATCTACATCATTTGTTACACAAAAGCACACCAAGAAGTACAAGTACAAGTTTAGGAATCCACAAGTTCACAGATCCACACGTTCCACACATTTTACCCAAGTTTCCCCCATTTTCCCTGAGATTCCTCCTTCCTGCCAGTGTCAAGAGGCACAGAGGATTGCCCTTGTTCCACGAAAGCGGGTTCTGAGTAGCCCTTACACTCCAGAAATCCCCGTTGTCACCCACATGGCACCTAGTTTGCCTCCAGAGATCGCCTCAGTCCCTGTCACTGCAGCGCCTGTGTTTGACGTTTATTACACGCCAATGCCTAGCACCTGTAGCCCCAGAGCGCCCCGATTCAAGGGCAAACGGGTTGCTAAGTTGCTGTGCAAGTATGAGTTGCTGGCGGATGCCGCACTCCTCACAGATGCCGAAAAGTGCAATTATTTGCCAGCTTATTGCTCCGATAAGGAAGCGAGGTTCATTTGCACCCTTCCTGACCTAGAGACCAGTGACTGGTCATCGCTCAAAGCAGAATTGCTGAGCTGTTACGGTGCCGACATTGAAGCACCTGTGTATCGCTTCAGAGATCTCCGCAAGTTTGTGGAGAAAGATTGCAAGATGGAAACCCTAGCCCATCTTGGATGCTATATGCGCAAGTTCCTTGCCATTTCCAAGTCCCTAGCAGCACAGAATTGCCTCAGCGCTCTTGACTGCGATGAGTTGTTTTTCCGAGGCTTTCCATCCAAGTTCAGATATGAGCTCGAGTTTGAGCTGCAAGTGCAAGGTCCGTGGCTCGATTTGACCCGGCCACCCGAAATGCACGATGTTGTCGCAGCGGCAAAGATCCTGCTCCAGGATGACTTGTTTTATGATGACTTGTTTTGTGATCACAGTCTAACTGACCATAGCAGTGACGGCGCTAGTTCCTGCCCATCGCCAGCTGAGACCCATAGCAGTGTGTATGCTCAGTTCCCAATGCAGTCCTCAGTTCAGAGTGACTTTGTGCTCGAGTACGATCCAAGGATGAGCTCCAGCATGTCAGAAGACCTGGAAATCCCAGAGACGGGTAGCCCAGCGTTAGATTTGAATGACCTACACCAGTCTGAAGCGTCTGAGATGTCCAGCGCTGCAGATGCTGAGTCAAATGTCGCATATGTGTCTGAATCAGAGTTTGAAACCGAGAGTACTAGCTCCTACGATGCATCCGAGAGTACATCCAATGTACCAGAGCACAATCTTAAAGAGTTAAGGCCTAGCGGCCCCTCTTACAGCTCAGAACCCGACGTCTCTGATGATGAAATGGCTGCTCATGTTCTAGAGCCAGTTGAGATCGAGTTTGCACACACAGACGAAGTCATAGACCCCCGATTATTGGAGGCAACAGCATATTCACTGTGGGAAGTAAACTCTGGTAAATTACCAAGTTTTCGTAGGTAAAGGACCATTTACTAAGTTTCGGGTGGTAATTGAGGAATGGTAATGTACCAACTCCCCTGATGAGGTTGGTAACTAAGTTCTGTGCACCATATTTTACCAGATATCCTATGGTATTTGGCGATGCGATACATAGTGTAAGATTTCATGTTATGTACACCAGTTTTACAGTAAAGCATGATGTAGTCGATCATCGCTGACATCAAGGTGGACTGTACAAGCTCAATACTACGGTCTACATGCAATTCCCCATCGCAGCGATGCTGTTCCATAACGAAACCCACCACATACCGATGATACTGATGCTAACTTTGCGATAATATGTGTTATCTCTGAGAGAGAAATGAAGGGCATTTGAGTCAGTGCAGTATTGTCATGAGCTCTGCAATCAGAAAGAAGAGCGAGGTTGGCGCATTGATGCCTGGGAAATTCAAAGTCGGGAGAGTGCATTCAAATATCTCACAAAGTATGCCATAGGATATATGCTTGATAAGCAGTCTTTTGATGGACATGGGGATTTGAATCTACAGCAGACTGTTTGCAGCGATGCGTTGACAGTCAAGTTGCATTCAGCAACTCCTGAGTCCCTTACCTTCACCTCTCATCATCTGCCCTCCTCCCGACTGTAAATGCTATCGTGTATTTTGCCCACAAACACGCTTCATTGAGACTTCTTAACCTGTTATATTGCTCCACTAGTGAGACAACACGCTTTCCATGGCAAATGAGCAATAAACATCGGAATTCCAACATGATCAGTCTTATCTGACATGCCTTATCATGCATCCTATCACACATCTTTCCATGTGTCTTTCCACACATCTCTCCACACATCTTTCCACACGTCTTTCCACGCGTTCCACGCGTTCCACGTGTCTTTTGTCCTTCATTAGGTTGCCGATGCACTCTCCTTTTCATGATGTCAAAATCAGTATAGCATATACTTGTGGGACTCACCCGATCTGTGGATCTCTCTGTTGCACAGAAAATCAAGACTCCTGATCTGCGAGGCCAAGTTCATGGTCTTCTTTAGCATGATGTCCGACACGTAGTCTCACACACACTGGGGTGACATACCAACAACTGAAAGGGTCGGTCCCTTTATTGCTCTTGCGCATCTCCATTCTAACTGACTCTCAAAGCTTGTTTCAAAACACCCTGAGCTTGAGACTATGAATCGCTGAATGCCCCAACCTGAAGTAAATGAAGAGTCGTATCGACAACTCATCATGCGATGCGATCAAGGAGGGAGCATCCCATACAACAAACAGCAAGGAAAAAGCAGAGCAATGCTGATGCCCAAGTCATCAGGGATTTGACCTAGCTATGTCTTCCATCGCTTGTCACTCCCAAAAGTCATAGCCCATGTACTAACTACTGTTACTTTTTTTACAGTACTTCTCTCTGGTCACTCACACTAACTCCTTTCACTCTTACTCACACTGCTATCACCGACTCGTTCAACTCCGCCCAATCCCACCTCTGCTCTTTTTTGCATAGAATCCTTCGAATTTTCCACTACCGTTCAATCTCTCTTGGTACTGTACTGCTTGTGCATCGCCTGTGGGTCACTTCTGATGGCCATGGTTTGTGTATGTGCATGTATTCACTATCATATAAAACACCGTAAATGAATACTCTCTGACCCATATTGCACCATGCCAAAGATTGTAAAGTACCAACAACGAATTGTCAGGGGACGCCCGGTTATCCGGCCCCCCTTTACTCTAAGCGATATCAATGAGGTAATTGTTAGCCAAGATTGCGTGAGATAATCACGTAGTTAGAACGCAGATATAACTCATTGCGCTATATTCGCTATCGCATCACCCCTTACCCGATATTCCCTCATTTCCCGCATCTTCTATCTTCCTATTTGATGTCGTGTTTCTATTAGTTACCATCTTCCCAATGTTACTGCGCTCTCGTGAGTTAGCAGAACTCATGTACATAAGGCTACTATGCCAGCTGGGCTAGCCCCCCAGCTTTGATATCGACTAGTTTCCTGGGGATACTCTTACGCTGCGAATAGACACGCGGACTCTGACACGAATCAGTAAATGACCAAATACCAATCTGGTAAAAATGGCCGTTTACCATAAAAAACATCGTACATCACCAGAAAAACTGATGTTATTCACCATTTCTGGTCTGGTATCCATTTCTGGTCAATTACTGCATACAAATTGGTATATTACCGCCGCTCCGGTGGTGTTTGAACTCGTATTTTACCAGACGAAAAATGGTAAATATTTTCCACTGTGTATTGCCACCCGATTGAGCAAGCTGATAATCCCGAGAGGTTCAGCGAGTCTTACTGTGATAACTCAGACATTCGCAAGTCAACTTTAGAGTCAGAGCAGTCGCTTGTGTTCCAGAATGCGACCATGTGCCACACAACTCCAGAGTTTGAGCCAGAGTTCATATCAGAACTTGAGTCCGGCGAAGACATGTTGCCAGACGAATGCCACAGCCCATCGTATGAGCCAGAGAGCACACCAGAAGCTGATTGCAACCAGCGCTTCATGCTTCCAGAAATAAGCACCGGCATCGCAGAGATGTCAGAGTTGTACCAGTTTGCCCTTGGGTTTGAGCCGGATGTGTCAAGAGCCGACCCAAGAGCACTGAGCGATAGCCAGCGCCACAGTTTGTGCGATGCTTCATGTTGTGTCGAGTCCATGCAGAGCCGTGAGCGACAAGTGCCCAGTGAGCAAGTGTGCCAAGTTGTCGGTACAGCTGTAGCTGCCGTTGATCTCAAATCCCCGAGCATTCTAGCCAGCGTAGAAGCCAAATCAGTCAGAGGACCCATTATTGAGCCGCCCCCTGGGCTCAGAGTAATGCCCCAGTCAGTAATGGCCAGAACTCCAAGAATCGAGTCGGCTGAGTTCCATAGCGCCAGAGAGCTGCTTATTGTGCGCAATTGTGTTGACTTGTCCCAATCAGACAAAGTACAAGTCCAAGACTTGAGTGCTGCGACCAAGACCAAAGAAGGCAGCCGTGCGGAGTTGTCTGTTGAGTGTAGTGATTCCAGCTGCCAAGAGGCAAGCTCAGTGATGATGCCCCAGTGCACAAGCGATCTGTTTGCAACTTCTGATATGACCCGAGATCAGATAGAGTCAACCGACTTGACTCAAGTGCCCAGCTACAAAGCTATAGATGCGACTTCAGTCCATAGCGAGGACAAGTCTCGTGCTCCTTGCAACAGACCTGCAGATTTGAGTGACTGTTTGAGCACCCGAGTTGACGAAACAGATGTTTCAGTTTGGGACCCCAGTGGTGAGTCCAATGCTGGCCTGAATGGAAATTTTCCCAAGTGTGCAAAGATGCCACATTCTGTCCCCGTGTATAACGAAGGACATAATACTTTGCCCAAGAAAGATCCAGAAAAGGCTGCGAGGCACAGATCCGATTCCAATTGTGGTGAAGCATCTGAGCATGTTAAGAAGCTGACCACCTTGCCCGAGCATGATGATGGTCATGCTTACTCAAACCCTCTTGTGAGGTCTCAGTGGGGTCAGCACACAGAGCCGTAAGTGATACGAAGGTGTGTATTTTATGGTGTGTGTAAGCAGTTAATGGAAGTTACTGCTTACCCATGTGACTATATGTACCTCGTAATTACATATGGCTCAGGGTTTGGGGCTATTGCCCTGACACCTCTGCCACAGTACCCCCCCTCAGACGTTGTGAGTGGGAATTAGCTACAGGACCAGAAAACAGAGGGTAGCACTCCAGCTCACTCCCCAAGAGCTAGGGAAGAAAGAGAAAGGGGGCTGGAGGGTGTTGCAGTAGAACAGGTCCATATATTCAACAGGGAGGGGGGGGGGATTTTGGGGAAAATATAACTCTGGTAACTCTTGCTTATCTTCTTTCCATGGTGGATTTCCCTAATGGTCACAATAGCCCTTTACCAATCGTATGGCCACTCACAACACCCAAGTACACAGACTTCAAAAGTAGCAAGAGGGGGGAAATCTCTGTTTCGGTATCAATCACTATGTACATATACTCATACTGCAAATATTCAATAGTGGAAAAGACTCCGAAATATATGGTTTGGCTAAGCCAAGCCTTCACCAATAATGGCGATAAGGCTCGGTTACCATTGGCTTTGAATAAATTCCCAAATGACAAAAGAAGAATGAAATGTTAAACACCAACTTCATAATACCACTCCCAATATCGCATCAAAACTCCGTCCCTTTATTCCATTCGACACTCCTCATCCGTATCTTTCTAACGATACCGATTTTGTGAAATTTGGTGGAGATTTGACTGAGAACGGGAATTCTCAGACACAGAATACATATCTTGATTATCCACACACAGGGAAACTTGGACCAAATAATATGCCATAATTCCAAGACTCCTCCAATGACTTCTTTAGTATTTTTATCATTTAACTAGCCCGTATTCTCCTGGAATTTCACTGAGACTAGCTTGCATGTGAGCATCCACATAGTTCATATCGTCCCATGACTCCCATCATGCCCGATAATCAGAATATCTCCAAAATCATCCTCTTCTGTCAACTTTTGACCTTGTTCCCATGGTCACCATCAAGTGCACGGACTTTGCACATGAGGACACCTCAGGTTAAATTTCTGCACCAAATCTCAACCAATTCTTTCATGGAAAGGCTCTTTCGGTTCGTACGAAAACCCTCTTTCTTCTTTTTTATTACCCCCCCCTATAATTCCTTTTTCATAATAATGTACAAGGGCGGGAGCCCAATTTTGATGTATTTACTGTTCCATGAAATTGAGCACACCCGTTATGCACTCCTACAATGTATGCACACTCATCGGTATATGAATCCGCCCATGCTCCTTCCTACACTTCCCATGGGTGCAGCCATCCTGTGCACCATGTTCATTACTCTCACCATCATCAAGATGAGGACTCATCCAGATGCCGACATCAAGACTTGTCACTACGATGACAACTATCTCAGCGACAGTGTCACTGTTGATGCAGCAAGGTCCATGACAACTTGTAGGACCACATCAAACCACCCATCTGGCCCTGGCCCATCAGGATCCATGCCATGCAAACAAATGAGAAACTAAACCCCTCATATCCCTACCTTCATCAACGACAATGCTGTCGTTGATTACTCACTTCCCACCTTGTCAATGACAATGCTGTTGTTGATTATTTACTTTGTACTGTCAGAGACCAGGTGCAGGACAAAGGAGACGTCCCCATGGCAGAGGGCTTCAGCCTCAGCGATTAGACCAGGAGCACTGTGCCCAGTTTACACATCCATGCCCTAACTTACTAACTGGCAACAAAAACTTGAGCAGGGGGATAACTCTAGTTGATTTTATCACTAGGGTGTAACCTATCTACAAGTTATGTATATATAGTTACATAGAGGGCAGGCCCATGAATAGCGTGGAGTGGAGCTAACGGAGTTAGATGTTAGCTGACTGAATATTACCGACGAGTTGGGTTACAGGTTTAGCAGAATGACAGGCTATAACCCACAAGTGGAAAGGAGGGGTTGGCCCAAAGGTGGGCTTGCAGGGCAAGCAATGAAATTGCCCAGTGGAGGCAGGAGTGCACTAGCAGACGTCGGAGCTGTCTGGAGACCTTCGGGGCTCTGTACTTAGGGAGGTGTAGGTAATTGGAGAGGTGGTGACCATCAGGGGAGTCAGAGGTGGTTGTGGAATCTGGAGGCTCTGAGGTTAGTGCCGAAGGAGTGGAGGGAATCCGGAAGGACCCGGAGGTAGTGAAGGGTGATGGCCATGGATGGATATGACATGTACCCATCTTCATCAACAACAATGCCGCCATTGATTATTCACTTTATTCTTTGTCGATGACAATTCTGCTGCCAACAATGGTATTCCATGACTTGTTCTCAACAGCATTGAAGCTGTTTTCCTTTTACAATCGCAGCAACAAGAAAGTCGCTTCATCATTGACAACACTGTTGTCAAGAGCTGGGTACATATGTTCCAGGAGAAACTCTAAGTGGGCTTTGCTGTCATATCCATCCATGGCCATCACCCTCCACTACCTCTGCTCCTTCCGGATTTCCTCTGCTCCTTCATCACTAACCTCGGAGCCTCCGGATTCCGCAATCACCTCCGACTCCCCTGATGGTCACCACCCCCTCAATTCAATATATTACCTACACCTCCCTAAGTATGGAGCCCTGAAGGCCTCCGGACAGCTCTGACGTCTGCTAGTGCACTCCCGCCTCTGCTGGGCAATTTAGTTGCTTGCCCTGCAAGCCCACCTTCGGGCCAATCCCTCCTTTCCGCTTGTGGGTTATAGCCCGTCACTCCACTAAACCTGCAACCCAACTCGTCAGTAATATTCAGTCGGCTAACATGTAACTCTGTTAGCTCCACTCCACTTGGCCCTGCTATTCACAGGCCTGCCCCCTATGTAACTATATATACATAACTTGTTTACACCCTAGTGATAAAAATCGACTACAGTTATCCCCCTTCTAGTTTCTCATTGCCAGTTAGTAAATTAGGGCACAGACGTGTAACTAGGCACAGTGCTCCTGGTCTAAGTCGCTGAGGCCAAAGCCCTCCACCATGGGGACATCTCCTTCATCCTGCATCTGGTCTCTGACATTTGCCTACCAACTACTACTATAGCCTCCTGCAATGAGTGTGCCCCTGTTTGCATACATTCTTTGTATATATTTCTTTAATATGCTCATTTTCCCTTCCATATGCTTGTACCCTGTCTGCAATTCAATATCGCAAGGGAGGAGGATGTGAGGCCCCAGCCCATGTCTATATTCCACTCACAACATCAATTGATGTTGTGTTGTCTAATAATTGTGTTGCGACACTAATATAGCATTGCTGTCATATCCTGGAATCCCAACCCCGTAATCTCCCACCTCACTACACCTTCCTAACAACCTCATCATCCCCTATACCATACCTCCCTACTTCCCAACAACACCTTTCCCCCCAACTGTCTCAGCTCCGACCTGGACCTTGGCACACTCACCCTTGGCCATCTCCATCCTGGAGGCTCGGTCCCGAATTGGAACATTCAGAACCCCTGGATTTGCTTCGGGCCTCCCAACAGGTCTCCAACATGTTGTTACATACTTCTAAACCATTCCCCCCCCATTTCATTTAGTGGAGTCACCCAACATTCTTTGGATATGTAACTCTGGCTTCAGAGCTACCCTTATCCTCCGGTGACCCTGCTCTCGTCATCTTAAATTAGTCACCTTCCATTTGTAGTTCGACTGTTGTCTTCCTTCCATTCAGTCGGCTGACTCCCCCTTACCCATTTCTTGTTCCCATTCATTCCCCAGCCTTCTACTCCACCCTCCTTGACCTGACACCTCAGTTCCCCATCAATGAATATTGTTCAGAACCTTTCAGTACCTTTTGGTATCTGTCAGTATCACATGGACTTTGACTAAAGTCCTTCTCCTCCTCCCTCTATGTATACATGTAGATTAGAACCTGTTGTACTCTAGTTCTAATCTCGACTAAGAATACCCCAAGTTCCTCTATGAGTGATTCCTGACCCCCTTCTACAAGATACCCCAGACATCTTAAATGAAAGGACTAACTGAGACGTAACGGAGGCACAGCGCTCCCTCCAAGTCACTGAGGCCACATCCTTCTTAGAGCCTCTTGTACAACCCAGCAGACTCAGGCTTCCTGGAGAAGCTTCGGTTCACTACCAGAGCTCTCAGAACCCCTCTAGTTGAGCCCTGCCTGCATTCAGTCTCACATCCCTTTGTGGGGTTTTTGACAATTGCAGATGCTTCTCTATTTGTGCCAAGAATGTATTAAATATTGTATATAAACCCTCAGGGTAGCTGTAAAGGGTGGACCAGCCTTTACTTCTACCTGTTAGACACTGGTCCGGGGTCGGCACTGAAGGTCGCTGTCACGACCCGGCGTTCCCCGGGGTCAGACGACCTCCTCCCCGACCTCCTCCCCAACCTTCTCCCACACCCGAACACTCCCGCACACTCCGCTCGCCGCCCATCGCCGCCTAACCCCTTCCCGCCACCTCTCCACAACCCCTCTCCTAATTGTCGTTGAATGACCTAGTGGCACAGAGCGCTGTGACCTGTTGTTCCATGTTTCACCACACGTTGTTATCTCGCAGCGAAGGTCACGCTTGACCTTCGCTGTCTTGAACACATGCTTCTTGTTTGTTTTCCTCCTTCTTTTCTCTGCCTGCAATCTCCGCGAGATCTGGCGACTTATTCCCTATTCAGTTCCCTAGCGCTTATATACAGCTTGTAACTAATGCTTGTACTGTAGTTCGAAATCAACTAGAATTCACCCCTAAGCTTACCTCTGTCCCCCGTAAGACCTCCGACCTTCTGAAGTATCGGGACTGTGTCGAGAACGAGGCACAACACTCCTCCTCAAGTCATTGAAGCCGAAATCCCAGCTCACTCACCTAAGTAGCCCTCAGCCTTGAGATCGGTGGGGTTTATCCCTTGCTAAAGCTTGGTCGTGTGTAGGACGCCTTTACCACTAGCGGGCAACGTTTGGTCACCTATGGCTACCATCGGCGAAGA